GAAGCCACGCAGTTTGTAGTAAATGCTTACCCCGTTTTCCTTTATACGGAATGACTAAAAATAAGCAAATTTAACTAACAGTCGCAGCTTAGCAAATAGATTTCTAAAAGTAATAAAAAAGAAAGAACCGGATAGCATTAGGAACTGATAAGCGACCGCTTTCTTTGCTATTGCGGACATGCTTTTAAAAACCCAAATATTAAAAATTTGACGCTTTGCCAAATATCGAAGCACTTTCTACTCTTTCGTGTAATGTGAGACAAATCAGTCTAAAGGCGCGCATTGCTTGCAGAAAATGAAATTTTATCCACCTTTTCAGACGCAGTCTTCCGAAAATGCAATTAATTTTGAACTGACAGTTCAAACGGTTTTTTAGTGTAATAATATTGTTGCGTAGCTTAGGCTTAGTTATTTATTCCCGAATTCTGTTAGTTGGAAGTGGGTCTTTTGCGATAAAAAACCTGCGTTTTTGGTAACCACTCTGTGTAGTGTTTGCACATGCTTGCGCGACGATTGGGGGTGTAAGCAAAAGGTTTTACGTTTCAGCAGCATTTCGGTGTTGTTTCTGAGATTGCTTCGTGTATAAGCGAAAAATAGTTCTCCTGTATTCTACGAAAGTACAAGCGTGTTTGTCTAATTGTTTCGCCTTGCAAACGAAATTTTTAAATTTAGTATGGATTAAGTAAGTTTAAAAAAATATAAACAGCAAGCAACAACGTATCACCTAACTCTACTTCCCGAGTCGTTTTTATCCTTTACTCGCTACGATCTATGCAGACACGAGAAATCCTTTTTGAATCTATGCAATGGTCATAGTTTAATTCAAAGTACAAGTTAGTATTTACCTTTTAAAATAACCAATGCATTTTTACTTGGCCTTCTACCATTTATTCCGATTCATTTTAGCTGATTTATTGTCCACGCCAGAGATAAATTAACACTGTTTCCGTTAATATCGCTCTTGGATTTTTGAATAGTAAGCTGTTGGTAAATTTTCAACTTTAAAGACGGTCCGCAAATGTTTTTCAAAATATTTTTGCTAAAGTAAAGCTTAAATTTAACGTAAAAACTTCGACTTAATATTGAAACCAAAGTTGTGTGTTCTAATGAGCACGTTATATATGTTTATATGATATGCGTAAACATTAAATGCTAGTTTATCTTTATATAAGGACATTGCTTAATATTAATATATGAACACCTGTGTTCTTTGCAAGACTCTAAAATGGAAATGAAGCTGAACTTTTTAAACAAATCATCAGGAGTTTTAGCACATGACAAAAAATCATCTGAACTTACTCTGAGGCAGAGGAAACGGCAATACTAAAACAAATAATATATAATTGTAACCGGATACTCGCAAACAAGAAGAAACTTTATGAATGCGGTTAAGCAAGAATTTTGATTTCATAAACTGTCTGTAAATTTGTTAAATGTTTACGTTGTCATGGTTATTATGCCGTCAAACCTCAGTACTGCACACTGTGTGGGAGAAAGTCATTGACACTTTACCAAGAAGCCTATGCGAAATAAGTTATGCCCTGTAAGGCTGGCTGTATTAAAAAAGAAATTACAGCTTAAGTCCGGATCTCATTATTAGCGCTAAGATCTGTTAAATTATCAAAAGCCACGCGTCAAAAAATATTGTTCAGTATTTCGCTGTTGAAATAAATATCCCCTTAATTTAAAACATTTTCTTGTGACTACGATAATTTAAATTTTTCTCAAGCTAAAACCAATGAATAAAATCGTGTTGTAAGTCAAACTGTAAAGTACTTACTAACTGGACGAACACTTCCGGTCGGTGGAGATGATATGGGAGCTTTCAAAAAAAATCAGAATGTTTGAATTTAAGGAAAATTTGCTAGACCAACGTAGTCCGTTTTTAGGAGTTCACTAGTCTCTATATCAAGATATGCTTTCAGCAAACAATATGTTGTGGCGTAACGCCTTATAATAGCAAACACGTAAGCAAATATGGTGTTTGCAATTGCATAGATGACAGACTTAACACGTAAATCAAATAAAATCGAGCATGAACTAACGTGCAGACCAGCCGAAGTCACATGCAATCATTTCCGGCTTCCCAGCTTTTAGATCTACAAGAGTCCGAGCAAAAATTCAAAAAAGGCCGGACAAATTGCAAAAAAGAGGCTTGAAAATGCATATATGTCGATGTGTTCTAAATAACTCTATTTTTAAGTTGACAAAATGCAGCTAGAAATGTGTTCCTTTCAAATTTGGTGAAATACAACAAGTAAGTGGAAACGTGGAAGAATAATTCAGATCGAAGTGTTTAGCCACTTCGTTATTTTCCTTATGTTTATCAGTCATGCGTTTGAGAAATAAGTTCTAATGCAACATTGTAAGGTAAAGGATTTTTAAAATTAAAACCCGCTTTACATTAACGTGACGCCTACAAGCGAAGACAAAGATGTGGGATCCCGCCCAGCCGCATTAAAATCTAGGTTCGAGGACTATGTATTCGAAAACATAATAA